ACTGATACCAACGGGAGTTATTGATTTACAGTGGTATCCTACTACGTACTAACCTACCTGGATACGTAGTACTCGATAGCCTTGTGACTGAGGTGACGTTCAGTTCAGAGTCCTGGGTAGCTTTGAAACACCGTTGAAGCAGGCACCGGCATCAGCGGATAGACGGATGAATTGTTGCTGGTGCCATATGGATCCCTCGGGATCTCGTTCTCTGGTGTTAGTGAATTGGCTGGGTTAGCTGAAGCCTCCAACAGCCTGCATCCAAGAGGCGGGCGCCGTTGTAGTTGAGACCTGGGACAGAAGCAGGGGCCCTTGAGTGGTTCAGGTACTGTATCCGTACTACCGCAGGTACAATGTCGATACTGCAGCTATTGACTCTTTGCTTTTTCTTCTCTTCTGCACAGTTAGGCGGGTATACTGGAGTACCTAGTGTAGCCGTTAGAAGGGGTCTGGGCACTTGCTTGGCAATGGAACCGGTGTAAGTGAAGCAATCGTCTTCCTTGAACTAGGTGCTTTACCTTAGTCAGTCAAGAAATCTCTGTTCCGCATAGTCTAGAGAGAACATCAACCGAGGTCATCCGGTATACAAACCGGCGGGAATATGATCAACTACGATACTCATACTCAACATGGTAAATATATCCGTCCATGTGCATCGGAAAGCGGGAGGCCAAACCCACCCTGGCCTGGCATGGCCAAGATGGCTTAGTTAACACATACAGCAAGTCATAAGGGACGCCACAGAAAGTCCCTTAACACGACATGTCACCGACGTCAACGGCGGGCATCTCCGTCGCTTATCTGCATAGGTGAGGCGTTTACTGAAAGTCCGAGACAAAACAAGGAGATTTGCTTGTTTGTTTGCTTGCACATGTGCATGCATACAGTACGTGCTGTGACATGTGAAGTCAACGAAGTTTTCCAGAAGGACGCTAGGGTCGTACAAGACAGCCAGTCTGACAACCAAGTGTAACGTAGAGCAGAAAGAGACGGGTCAGATTTGAGCAAACATATTCTGATGCAGGGGTTTGAGATCCGTGAATGCATCCCCAGGCCCAACAGGTTGGATACATATGCTGGTTGGTCGACAACTCATTACGTGTAACAGAGAAGTAGTGTATGTACGGATACTGGGACTCAACTAAGAAGACAACTTGAGTCAGCCAGCGATAGTCGCAAAACAAAAGTTTGATTGCTGCGTGTCAGCTTCCTCTCCCTCCTTGACGCTAGTTGGTGCGTACCTGACTTGTTGGTTCTAACGTTGATGCATGTCATCAAAAGACAGACTCGGCTTCAGTACTGGCAGAAGAAGTCAAGTCAAATCAATCACTCGTGCATGTGTAGGTGCTAGTCTAAACTGCTAATCCAGGCAGAAAAGGGATGATTCTCCGAGAGGCACATAAATTAGCTCAGGACCATGAGCTGATACATACTGTAATGTCGAGTAGTCAATCCAGTAATTAATTCCAGTACTGTATCCGTCGCATGGCAGTAGATCTTTACTTACAGTGGGTACTCTAGGACAACTAACCAATGTGAGCGAGTGGTGCGATTCCCGATGATGATAATTGGAATTCTGACTCAATGCTAGTAAACCCGATAGCTTCATCATCAGCCATCCACAATCTATCACAAATACCATATCCGGATTTACTGTCTACAGTACCTGTCTGTAATGCCGTCGATACGATGGGAATATGAGAAGCCAATTGGCCAATAAACGGATGCAAAGTATGTAAACTTAGTTGACTGTCCGCCAAGATTGTAGATCTTGCCCGACCCTGTGAACGGGTGGCTTTCCAGCAAAGATTAGGTACTAGATAGATAGCAGTATACTGCAGTCTAGTCTAGGTGCTTTTCTTGTCCTTCTTCTTCTGCACTCTTACAGTACTGTACTGTCCATATTGACAGTTGGGTAGTCTAACTGATCCGATTCACCTCGGCGATAGAGTCATGGCCAGAAGGTACAGTACTGACTGTAGTCTGTTCTACTCTGACTCTGGCGTGGCACGTGTCACGACGAACTACTCTGATGGAAATCTGCTCAGTGGTCAGTAGTACATAGGGCTGTATCTTCTAGTTGAACTGATTTGCCCGCCACGCGCCGCCTTATCCACAAGCGCTGCCCTGCCCCTTCGGACACGCCGAACAAGAGAAACATGTCATGTATCGTAGCGCTCTACAGCGCTGTAATTACACTTGAACCCGCTGTTTCTAAGTGGTTCCCGAAACAATGGCAATAGTGACAACAGCTTCCCTTCAGTAAGATGAGAGGAGACTACCCTACCAGTCAGTGGTGATGTTAGGTAGTCTATAGGTTGTATGCATTGCCGGTTACATTGCAGACAGCTACGTACGCTAGAGACTGTACTGTACGAGTATAGATAATTAGAGTGTACAACCAACCGCTGCGTCTAGGGACCTTCTCCTACCCTCCTTTAAACGGCAGTGGAACTAGGGTACAGTACACACATTGCGTTAGTATCATGGGAGGTACAAGCGTTCCCTACCAAAACGTGCGGCAGTCCAAAGTACCTTTGAAAGTCGGTAGCCTGGTGCAAGAGTCAGGACCCTTGTCATGGGTCTGGGGCCGAAGTAATGAACTCAACTCTGAGCCAGACGACCACCACGACGGAGGAACCAATGTCACAGTAACAGATCTCGTGATGTGTTTGAGATAACTACTGCATAGCAACTGCAGTACTGCACCTAGATACGGTTGGCCGAGAGAGCTGGCTCTCCAAATGTACTGGAGTATGTGATATGCCAGATATCCAGGCACCTATCTAGACGATAATCAAGCTTCATTCAAGTCGAGCAGACACTCTAACTGAATTCATCCAACAACGTCTCTTGTCTCTTGAGGATCCCAAGCAACCCCATTATTCATCCCTCAACCCATCGTAAAATCCTAATGTCATTGGATCTTCCAGGCCAGGCCAAGCCAAGCCTGGCCATTCCATCCCATGCTACTAGAGAACCTGGGCTCTTTTAATTCTGACTGTAACTGCTAGCCCTCTTGTGCTTGATCCTCTCTGCCTGCCGAGATAACAATTGCTCCCTAGGTAGACACTTTGTCTGAAAGGAAAGACCTTTTGCAATGCTCACTTGTTCAGCCATAGCAGGCATCGACCGATATTTGTTGACAGCCACCAAGAGTAGTTAGAGAGAACTTGTACTCGACTCGAGTTGAGTTGTCCGTCTCTCTGTACATACTGCATAGTACTGTAGACTACCTGATCTACCCAGTATGTACTACATCGGACAGCAGGCAGGCAGATGTGCAGTCTCTTGGACGACAAGCTAACGCCTTGGCCAGACACTTGATAATCGCCCCTGTTTCTGTTTCATTCACTATACCTATTTAATGTTACGGTAATATGGAATTGGAATATATGTCAGCAGAACTGTCGACGACAATCACTGCTCCTCTGGACGTGGCTTTCTGGCCATCTTTGGTGATGTTCCCGGTCAACTAATACCCGACTGCACTGTACTGTACTTTGGAACCCCTGCCTTGCCCGTGGATATGCGGTTGTCCGTGCTCTTCTCTTACTTACCTAGGAAGATTCGGACCACATGCGAGACGGAATTGATTACACAGACCAGACAGGACAGCGTAGAGTTGAGTTGTTGGTCTCTGCTGGTTGTAACAGACTACTGTATGTACTGCACATAGGTGTAACCCTGGGCTGGGACCCTGTAGGTTGCTTGTTGAGCTACTGGACATGTACCTTACTCTCCCTGATATGGGCGCCCGGCAGACGCATAGTGGCATCATTCCTTCTTTGTTTCGACGGTGTGGCTATTTTCCCCTTGCCATCCCATCCATGATCGTGAATTGCTGTAGAATATACTTTAATTATTGACAATTTGTAGATTGTTGTCGTGTACCTTAGTATGAACCTCTCGTTAGGAGGACCCTCCTGTCCACTACTAGCTCAGTTGACAATCTCTCCCTTCCATTAGTAGTGGACAACTGCCCGCTACAACACTGCTATCCATTACTGCTACTGGTCACTACTTGCCTAGGTGACTTACCTACACCGCACCGTACCTACTAGGTACTAAGTTAGTAGTACCTAGACCTCTTTTCCCACCTGCTCCATCAAATCATTCTTTCTCTCTTTCTCCTCCCTTACGTTGATTTCATCTAATCCGAACCAGTTCAAGGTACATTTATTGCCGTTTCACACCTCGAAGACTTGTCCTTAGCAATTCAAGAAAAATTTCAAAGACCAAGCCAGCCAGGACCCTCTGAACTAAAGCAACTATTCGGACTTGACATCCATCACACGTCTCGAAACGCCTCCACAAGCAACAGCCCCCCTCCTCGCCAGGACTCCTCCTTTTCTTCCCCTCAAAAAGGACCTACTTTCTCCCCTCTCTTCCCCCGAAAGTCGCACGCCGTCTCCTCGACTTCCCGCCGCCACTTAACCCCCTCCCCCGAACGACGCTGGTTCTCCCCTACAAAACCAAACGACGAGCGCTGCGCTGCAAAAAAATCCGATTCTCGCCTCCCGTACTTTGCGCCGCCCGCTAAGGTCCAGACCCTGCTCCGCCGTCCGCGTCCCGATTCGATTTTCAACTTCACAAGCGCCCGGTCCTAAACCAAACCAAACCCAGCCAGGCCAAGCCTCGTCTTGCTTCGCTGACTTTTGAGCTGCATTTGCGTCTGCTTCTGCAATCTGCTGCTGCTTCTACTACTGTACCCCTGCGAATCTGGTCCTCTTGCTATCATCATCATCATCATCATCATCATCGCTATCAACGCCAACGAAATCACCGCCATCAACACAAACCGACCGCCGTACTTACAAGCCGAACCTGAACCCTCAATCTTTGTCTATACGCTGCAAAAGACGAGACAGTGCCCTGCGAAATACTGCCACGGCACTCCGACTCCACCCTTGTTTCATTCCTTAAACTCGCGACTCAGCATGGGACTTTGCTATTCTTCACGATAATTCAACGTCGTCCACCATATCGACCCCCTCACGATGGGCAACGGCCAAGGAAAACCCGTCGACCTCAACGGCGAAGGTACGTCAAGCGACCCGACCGCTACCTTTATTTTCATCCTTGTCTCCATCTGCTTTCTCAAATCTGCCATTGGGTTATCACGGTTCTTGTCACCCTGCATGCTATCTGCTACCTCTGAGCCGCATTTCACTTGGCATCATCCTGTCTCCCACGTGTATCGTGCATACAACCCGACCGCTGCTTTGCGCTCAATCGCTTGCTTTTTCAACAACACAACCGCCCAATCCCCGGTTACGTACAGAAACAAAGTAATTAGTACATTTCGCTGACAGTCTACCTAGTGAACCTCAATCATTTCCGCCTCTTGCGAGTCGTCGGTCGAGGTGCCTTCGGAAAGGTACGAATTGTCGAGCGAAAGGACACGAATCTCTCCTTTGCTCTTAAATATATCCGAAAGGATGAAGGCAAGTCACTTTTCTTATCTATTCGCTGTACCTTGGCTTCAGGGTCATGTAGAATATGTACTACTTCATCTCCTCGACGGTAGCCGTCGAGTAGGGTGCAGCCATCTCTCTTGTGGCACCCGGCTAACAGTTGTGAATCTTGCAGTTGTACGATCTGAAAGCGTGCGTAACATTATTCGAGAACGGCGAATGTTGGAATATGTCAATCATCCTTTCATCTGCAACTTGAGATACAGTTTCCAGGACATCGAATACATGTACGCTCTCCTACGATACATCCCCAACCTTGGCTCACATTAGATAATAGGTACCTTGTGGTCGATTTGATGACTGGTGGAGATCTACGGTTCCACATCTCGAGAAAGACTTTCACCGAAGAGGCTGTTAGGTTTTGGATTGCCGAGCTTGGATGCGCTTTGCGATATGTACACAGCCAAAACATCATCCACCGCGATATCAAACCCGACAACGTACTGCTCGACGCCGATGGCCACGTTCATTTGACAGACTTTGTATGTTTCGCCTAATCACTGTTGTATCAAAACTAACCAAATCCAGAACGTTGCCTCTGATGTCGTCCCAGGCAGGACACTCACAAGCAAGTCAGGTACACTGGCTTACCTCGCTCCCGAAGTATACGCTGGTAAAGGATACGACGTTCGGGCAGACTGGTGGTCTTTGGGTGTTTTATTCTACGAATGCATCTATAATAAGGTACGTGCTTGTGGAGCTACACCAACCCTTTTGTATATGCTGACCAAATTCAGCGACCCTTTGAAGGCGGCTCTGAAGGATCTCTCAGTCAACAGATTCAAGCTGCTTCGCCCAAGTATCCCGTAACACAGCCGCCTGTGTCACTCTCCTGCCTTTACGCAATCGGCTCCGCTCTTGACCCGAACCGTGAAACTCGAATGGGATCAACGTGGGAGAGTTTTATCCATAACGAATTCTTTAAGTGCTTCGATTTCGAGCTTCTCGAGCTAAAGCGAATCGAGCCGATTTTCGTTCCTTCCTCTGAAAAGACTAACTTTGATGCTACATACGACCTTGAAGAGTTGTTGTTGGAAGAGGCACCACTTGAGGCTCGTGCAAGACGCCAGAAACCACGAGAGCGTCTAAAGGATGATGCAACTGAGAAGGAAATCCGAGAAGATGAGTTATATCGCATGATTGAATCGGATTTTAAGCCTTTTGACTACACAGTAGCTGCCTACAAACGGTACGTGGCTATGCTAACTTTCACTATTGTCTTTTTGCTAATTTGGCCAGGATTACCGAGGGCGCTGCCACCGAGGAAGGATCCCACGACACGGACAATACTCCCCAGGCCATCACAACCGACGAAGCGACACCTGTCCCTGCAGTTAACGGAGGCTATCAATCGTCACCCCTTAACCCAAGCACCAGCAATGAAAGTCGCACGGGACGCCCTGTACGCCCGGCTCCTCCACCGCCGTTACAGAACGACTTCCGAGCTCGCCACGTTCCTATTGTTGCCGGTCAGCGGATGACGAGTCCTACTGGAGGCGTGCAAGTGACTCTTGATGGCAGTGGTAGCTGGTCCGAGCTGGCTCGTCAGGACGCAACCTTGCCTACGGATGCTAACAATATTGGTGATGGCAAGAGTGAAGGCTCTGGCGGCATGTTTGGGTTTCTCAAGAGCAAGAAGGGACGCACGAATAGCCCTAAGCCAAAGGAACGAGGTGTGCTGGGTAAGGAGGGCGCAAGAGTTGTCATCGGTTAGAAGAGGATGGAGGCTCGCAACACGCCGTTCTGGTATCATGCTCAAGAGACCAATATTCAACCGGCAGTATGCACACCAGCACTCCGGACCACCGGCCCCGAGTGTCCTCACACTGGGCGCCCAAAAATCGATTATTCAATGCTTTTCGCAGTTCCGTTCTGCGTTCTGCGACGTGAGTCGATGCCGCGATGGCTGGGACCTGGTAAAGCAACGTATCCAAGGACAGCCGATGCGGGGAGCGATATGGCGATAGCCGCTGCGCAGGGACGATGAGAGACGGCCTCTTTACTTCATTCTTTCTGGCGTTCGGTCATGTTTTACGGCTAGACGCCCTTGCTACTCCCGATCATAGAGGGGTATCGCATTCTGAGGAACGACGCTAATTTGTAACAACGTGGTGCAAAACCAAACGAATAACCAACATGGGAGGGAGCTATGCATCTGCAGGGACATTTCATTCACTTGAATCTGCAGCATCTGGGGGATGCTTGAATTGCGAGGGCGTTTTTCTCTTATCGGGGGCGGACATTGATGGGATATAGTCACCTGCACATTATTCATACTATTGGCATTTTCACAGATGTCTTTTCAGGAGATAACAGAAGAGATGGAATATATACAGCTGGCGAGGCTATGTGGAGTGTACGAAGAGGCGAGTGGGAAGGGGCGTCACTAGACGTCCAGTACTTATGGTTATTGTTTGTTATTGTGAGCATATTTGGAATAATACCCCATTACAACTTGACTGTTGACGCTTTCCGCCTACACTGTGTGCCATGCTCGACCTGACAACACCAATCAAGCTTTGAAGCACCCAATCAACAATTCGCACTGATGCCATCAGACAAGACGACAAGATACACCGCATGGAAAGTATATATGCATCTATTGGAGAGTGACTAAACGCAACACTAATTCAACCTCGTAATTGTGAAGCCTTTTAAAATAAAAATAAAAAACACCCCCCACACGTACTCCGAACCACAACTTCAAAATCTGGAGGACATCCATCTTCGATAGTTACCCCATCTTGAAAGTTATCAGATGGTTTCAGAGATTTCCTAGCTCTCGGCTGACGGTTTCTGCACTGGCAGTGTTAGCTGAGCGTTTGTATTGAAGCGTGCGTGACCTGACAGCACTTACGTTTGAGAGCACCAAGAGCACCAAGAGCACTTGAAAGCTCCTGTATATATTCTTCGGTTTGTTCCTGCTGTCTTCGCCATCTCCTTTCTCGGAACTCCCTAGAACGAGGAAGAACAGTATCTTGATACCGGTTTGGATTCGAAGACTCCTCGTCCCAAGACCAAGACTCGACGACCTCGTCTGCTTTGACTCTCCAGAGGCAGATGTAGTGGCTGTTTAGTTCCTCTTGAGATAGATCATATGGATCTTTTATTTTGTAACATCTCATCTCGTCACCATAGTTTATCACAGGACGCTTCGCCCCGCAGCAGACTGCCGGATCGATGACTATGAGGGTTGATCTTGCCTATAAGGACGGCGTTTTCTGAAGTTTTCAAAGTTACGAAGCGCTTCAGGTGAAGACGTGAAAGAGATATAAGGCGTAGGACCCCATCAATAATTCAAAAGATGCGTCTGTAGAGTCGATTGTCGAGTCTGTGAAGTCTTCAGCGACATGTCAGATGCTCTAGCGTACATGTGCCCAAGCTCATCTGGTTGGCTCCCAGATATATAATCGTATGTCCTGAGGGGAGAGCGATCAGCCAGATCTCTCTGTACATCCACTTGGGCAGAAGTTTTCCAGGAGCGCAAGGGCTTTTCCTGGATGGTTGGAGGCCTCCATAGCCGTTGAAAGGAGTTCGCAGGAGTAGAAGCAGTGGGTATACTATGATGCATATCTGACTGATGGGCCTGAAGACTGATTACCAGCAGGCAGTAAGGCAGTAAACACGTCCCGGAATCGCCCTTGAGAATACTCACTCCAATGGTTTCTATGTTATATCTCATGATGGCCATGGCCGGCATCTGGTGATGAGTTTCCACCTAGCTGTTGGCCTCCGTATGGCTGAGCAGGCCATTCAAGAGACCATTATATGAAAACCGAGGACCAACAAACCAAACGTCCATACTGAGTAATCAGAAAGAGCTAGCTCTATTAAAAACTCATTACAACATCCGATTGTCTAGTTTTGCACTGTTAAGACTAACCAACCTACCATTTGAGACGATAGCTGAATTTCAGCAACCACGACGTTGTAGTCTGAGTATACAAGTGAAATGGAAGAAGAAGAAGAATGAACCTGTTCAACCACAACTAGTAAGGGAATATAACAAGTGAAGTGAAATGAGATACTAGGCTGTTGGATGGATACTGAAGCCACCCCAAGATGGTAAGGCGAACTGTGTTCTGCATGTATGAAATCACATCAGCATCTGGAGAAAGGGATAGAACACGTGTTCCACAGACGCTTTACTCAGAATTTAGACATATGGAAGCATAGAACATCAGTTTAAAGCTCTATCTATATCTATGAGACACTCATTTGTTAAGGTCAAGCGAGGGAGGAGGAAGCTAGTAAAGCCCCCCAACTCGCTTGCTTGAACATATGGATCCGAACAAAATAAATACAAACTAAAGAAAAGCAAAAGTAATAATGAATCAGGGGGTATATATATATATTGGCGAAAGAAGTGCTGGTCTTGTGAGATCATATCTTGTTTTCACCTAGAGAGAACAGTCCAGCCCTCAATGAATCCCTCAGTACTGTCTCTGTCTCTGTCTTTGGCTTCGTATTGGACTCCTCTTCCTCCGTTATACCTGCCTCTGTGGCTAGGACTACGTCTGGGGATGTTGGACTCGGCAGCTGCCCATTCTTCTTGAACAAGGGCACAAAATAACGCCTGCTCGGCGCTCGCTTCTGACCCTTTGAATTATTCATTGATACAGGCGGCGGCCTTGTTGTCTTCGAGATGGGCGGAGGGGGGCGAGGGATGGCCGTCTTGCCGGGAGGCGTGTTGAACTTGATTGGGGGTAAAGGCTGCATTACATTGTGGAGCAGTTCCCTACCAAGGGTGCTCATCGTGCAGTTGGAAGACGTTCGAGTCCGAGAATCTGTTGAAATCTTGTTGCCGTCACCAGCAACTAGGTCCGGAGTAGTTGGTGTAGGGTCTTGCGTTGGGGGCCCTTGGGGTAGAGTGTGCTGTGGTGAAGGGTTCTGAATCAAAAAATCCCCTGCCATGAAGTGTTTGCCCAAAGTCGAACTTGGCAAGCGTGGTGATGGTATAGGCGTTCTTATCAAAGGAGTAATCGATCCTGAAGTCGAAACCCCTTCTACACCCAACATCTGAGCAGCTTTCTGTGGTATTGTTGGCGGCGGAAACGATCGAGTTGGAAGTATCTCGACCTCATCAGTAGGAGAAGAGTTTCCAAAAGATCGCTGAGAGTAGACAGACTCTGAATCTGGGATTGATATCCGGTGGTTGAATGTATGGCGCCAAGAGCGATAAGTTGAGCTACCAAAACCTGCTCCAGGTCTCGAGCTCTTGCTTGATGATGAAGTGTTCTCGACTTGACCCCTAAGACGTTGATGTCGAAGACAATATTGTCTATAGATAAGAACACCAACAAACACCGTCACCCCCAGAATAATCCCGGCAGCCACTGTTCCTCCTACAATAGCACCCTTCTCAGTACCCGAGATCGTATCGTGCTTTGGGCTGTCGTTACTCGAAGCATTGCTTTCAATTTTGATCGGATCTTCGAGGAGTTCGGAGCTTTTCAATATAAGGTACCCCGGTGATTCGGCGTCTTCCCTGCTCAGGCTCGTCTCTTCAGCTGTCGTTGGTCTGGCTTCTGTGTATTGTTTGGTAAGCACCATGAGCAGACATAATGGAAGGTGTATCCAAGAGTTCATCATATTTCTGGCTATCGTTGGCATGATGTGTTCCAGTCCCATTATAAAAGCCTTCCGAGTTTTGGGGACTCATCGACATATAAACAGCCGAAGGATTCATGTTCTCGGAGGCCTTCGTGTATGGTTGTCAAAGGACTGCAAGAATAGTATCATTTCGGCCGAGTCGACAAAGGAATTCGCTCAAGGTCAAGAATAACTGGGAACGGTGTCTTGAAGAGGCTTTGTTGCTTCATTATACGAGTCGTCTCGTCCGCATGATATCGAAAGGTCGATCCATCCTCGCCTTCCAAAGAATCCAAATTTGACATGGCGTTTGATATCCCTATCGGCTCCGTGGAACAAAGACGTCTAGTCAACGGACTTGAGTTGAACAAAGAACAGCTACGGTCAACGCCTTAAATGCATTGACCCTTGAGGCTGAAGGGAGTACTCGAATATTTCAGAATTCTTTGATAATTAAAATAGAAGTGCTACAAGAGCCGTCATGCAGTCTCTACCGACATGTGTGGTAAGGCAGCGGAAGCGACACATATATGGCCATGTATCACAGACATGACATGCAGGGCGATGGCGTTGAGATAAGGTTACCGTACAACGGCCTTGAATTGATATGCGGCCGTTTCTTCTGCAATGCGGATAGTGCATTTCTTGGATCTCCGGACTGATAATAGTACATACAGTACAGTACAGCCAGGCACAGTTCGTGATTGGGAGCCAGTCTATCTAATCTCCAGTCCTCATGGGCTTTGGAACAGCGACGAGGGTCTTACAACCACGTGGGAATGCAGACATGGCTCACACTCATTCGTGCAAGAGATAACGCACAAAGCCTTGGATACCGGGTTTTGTTTGTACCAGAATTCGTAGCCGTTCACTGTGGTCAGGGTTCAAGTAAAAGCTCTTGACAGTGACTTGACTGGTGATGGATGTCCTGGTTGTTGGGACCGAGGTCGCCTCCATGGTCGACGCTTGCCTGGTGATGCCGTGATGGCAACCTTCAAACGCCAAGATTGGCAGGGCAGCACGAGGCCCCCGAGATAGGAGATAACATGGTTTCGTCCGAAGTACATACATACAGTAGGTAGTGTAAGGATATTAACCTGTGTTGCCCCCGACTGGAACCCC